GTTATCAGGAGGGAGGGGGAGCATTCCTGGAGAGGTTACAGAGCAAGCGCTTCCTCAGCCCGCAGCAGGACCATGGGAAGATGAAGAAGCTGAGACTGGCCCCTCCCTAGAGTCTCACGGGGTATATCCACTAGTTGCTTTAGCATAGGTTTAGTCTGGCGAGATTCTGTCTATTAGGTATAAGCTAATAAAGGAACTATACTGGACTGGACCGCCTCGTTGCCGTTCTTGGGCTGGGCTTGGCATAGGGTTTGTTTTTACAGTTGACTTTTAATGGATTAATTAATTTTAATTATTTATGGGGTATTTTTAATTGTTTATGGGTTTTTGATTTTAATTGTGAGCCGCCCAGAGTCACCTATTGGGGGAGATGGGGGGCATACAAATTTAATAATTAAATAAATAAATATATTTATGGGGTATTTTTAATTGTTTATGGGTTTTTGATTTTAATTGTGAGCCGCCCAGAGTCACCTATTGGGGGAGATGGGGGGCATACAAATTTAATAATTAAATAAATAAATAAATAAATAAATAAACAAACAAACAAACAAACAAACAAACTGTCCCCTTGTCAGAAATCAATTACCCAGAAAAAAAAAGTATTAAATGCAATTAATGTAACAAAAAAAGCAAGCTTTTGCTCAAGCAAATTGGAAGTAACTTTTTTAGGCTGTGAAAGGAAAGAATACCTCCCTAGTTTGGAAGTTAATTGCCTGCGCATCACATTAGGGGAAACAATGTTTGAAGGCTAGGATTCCAGTTGCCAGATAGGAAGAGTTTTACAAGTACACTATATAGTTTTCCCCTTTCTACTTGCCAGTCTTCACATGACACACCACACAGCATCCCTCCATTGCTGCTGGTCTCCTCAGAGATTCTTAAAGTAATTAAACAACTGAAAAGTGGGAAAGCCCCTGGTTGTGACCTAATACCATCAGAGTTACGGAAGAGAAATGCTGATTGGTGGGCCCCTGATTTGGCCTCTCTTCTCACATGTATCAACAATATACTCCAAGTGCCAGGTAACTACAACTGTTCCCATTCCTAAGAATGGGAACCCTTTAAACAATCATTCAGTTAGCCTATTAAGCATGCCTAATAAACTATATGCCCACTTCTTGTATTATAAGTTATTGGATTGGCTGGACCAGGAAAAACTCACAGCTGATGAGCAGGCAGATCCATAGTCTTGCCAGGGTTGAGCTGAAGCCTGCTGTTCCCATCCAAACTCCCACAGCCTCCAGACACCGAGACAGGACATCAGCAGCATCACTTAATTCCCCAGGGGCAGAGATGTAAAGCTGGGTATCATCAGCGCACTGATGACACCTCAGCCATGATGATAGATGATCTCACCCAGTGGCTTCATGTAGATGTTAAACAGGAGCTGAGAGAGCACCAAACTCTGTGGAACCCCACAGAGCAGGGGTCAAAGGCAGGACCTCTCACTCCAATCAACACCAATTGGAACTAGCTTGGAGGAAGAGGAGAGCCAGCACAATACAATGCCACCCACCTCCAATCCCCTCAGCCAATTCAAAAGGATATCATGGTCAATAGTATCAAAGCCACCAAGGGTCAAGAAGAGCCAGGGTGGACACAGTACCTCCCATCCTGGTCACTCCAAAGGTCATACAAAACTGTGACCAGTGCTGTCTCTGTCCCATATCCAGGTCAGTATGCCATCTTACAATTTCTAATATATAAATACACACGTGGGCAACTACCTTTATATGTGCCTTTACTGACTTAAAATTCTATTCCAAGGGACAGATTCTGGTGGAAGCTGTCCCTCATATCTATTGATCAGAGGGAATTCTATTTATATCACAGTTTGTTCCAATAAATATGAGTAAACTTACACCATGTGGTGCAATCATTTCATGATTTATCATTTTTTAGAATATACATCATCCAAGGATCAGGTTGGGGTACAAACAAAAAAGGGGTCTTTAGAATCAGTACAGAAAGACAAATATTGTATTTGTACTGCTGTCCATTACCAAGTTCACTTAACCCAATGATTTTAAGATAATTTGAGGGAGATCTTTTCAAAATTAGGATATGTGTACCTCATTTCTATTTGGTGGAGGTGTGATAGCAGAGCGCTGCTAGCAACACTTGATGTATAATTCCTATGGTTTATTCCTCAGACATGAATATAATCTCCAATTTCATAGAGATCTGGGAGGAATGTAATCTATGCAAAAATTTAAAAGAATATAGGCAGTCTTTTTATTTAGCAACTGCCTCATACAATGACCATTTGCAGTTACAACGGCGATGAAAAATAACTGTGACCAATCCTCACATTTACAACCTTCACAGGTCTATAAAGCAAACAAAAGCTGAAGTAAGATCATAACCACAATCAAGGTTTCACTTAGTGACTGCTTTACTTAATGACTGAGTTGCCAGTCCCAATTGTGGTCACTAAACAAGGACTACCTGTAATTGATTTTTCCACCCAAGTTTCATTCAGTGGGCTTTCCATTGTTACTTTGGATTAAATTATGTCTTAAAATCTTTCAAACTTCTACCTTGTTATAGCATTATATTACTGTTTTCTGATATTTCATATTTCGTGGCTACTTTGCAAACCAGGAAACCATCGTGGCAGCAAGTTTAACAACTGTGGCACAATGGATTCATGAGTCCACACTTGTAACTAATTTTTATCTACTTGATACTGATTATGCTGTCTATCGTTTTACTGTTAGTTTCTGACCTCTGATCATAATAAAAACTCTCACTTTCATGATTTCACATGTTCCCATAGGATGAGGAACTCTAGATGTTCTGCAAACTTCCAAATCTGGTGCCCTCAGGATTATAACTTTTAAAATTCCCAACAAGCACAGGAAATTCAAGTCACAACACTTCCAAAATGCACCTAGTTACAGAAGGTAGATGTAATAAGGCAATAATTAAAATAACATCCAAACTATTTAGGCAAAGACTAAAAACAAAGCAAAATGATTATATTGCTGCTTTTGAAGCAGAGAAGTGGGAAGCGCACAACTCTTCCCAAGCTTACAGGTTTGTTTGTTTTTTTATACGAACTCCCCACAGCAATTAGGTTTTCCTCCCTGTCTATAAAAGTAAAAATCTGTGTGGATGGGGAAAGATACCAGAAAAGTAACAGAGCATATAAGGAGAAGATTTAGTATCCCTCTGCCTGCTTCTTTGTTTCAAATCAGATACCCAAATTCAAATTCACATACTAACGAGAAGGTTCTTCATAATAAAAATACTAGAGGAATCATCATCTTGTGATATAGGCATTTAGAAAGGATTAGTGAGATTTTTGCATCCACAGCTGGAAGTAATTTGCTAATAAATTTAATTAAGGTGCAAATCTCATATGGCAGAATATGATAAAATTAATATAAACAAGCAGCCCAAGTTAAGAATTTATGTTCCATCCATTTCAATTGAAAAATTAAGTAGACATATAAATTTGTCCATTGGAAGTCCATGAAACCAAACATGTTTAAACACCTACTGCATTATGCCCAAAATAATTACAGAAATTACAGAAATACAAACATAACATATGAGACTAAAAACAAACATTAGAGACTAATGATCTCTATTGAACATAGATTCACATTGTAACCTATGTATCCAGATTCAGTGCTAGATATACATGCATATGTAACCAATGCATGCATAGGACTTCTGCCTTAGATATTATTACACTATTCAGCCTTAATAAATCCTTTAAAGTAAAAGCAAGACTGAGCAAATGCAAACAAACTCCAAATAACACACATGGCCAACTGTTAATTTGATTTTCAAAAGCCTAACTGTGGGTAAACAGGTTTATTTATGGTATTTTTATGCCACTCAACTTCAAAGAGCCCCAAGCCGATTTGGCATTTTCCATTCACCATATGAATTTCTGTAGGTTATTGAGGAATATATGGGCAAATAATATTCTAAGTGTCTTATAGCTTAATAATGTGAAGCTCATAGGCTGTGAAGTTGAAGAATTTATTCACATGCATAAACTTGAAATATACAAGTTCTTCTGCAATCTGACCATCATCACCACCACCACCAACACCATTATCAGCATCACTGTCTGCTGAACTTAGTCTGATAAAATGACTAGTAACTTACTGCACAGATAGTACTTAAAAGAAGCTATATCTAATGCCATCATACTGTCATTTTAAAAGGCTTTTTCAACTCACACAAAAGGAAGAAACAATCAAGAATGACAAGGAATACTTGAAATTGACTTTTATCAACCAAGCCATCAGCCTGTACATCTCAGTATTACAGTATCTCTACTGTCTGGCACTGCTATATAATCTATGGTTCTCCGGATGTGTTGAAGTTCACTCTGTGAGATCAGCATGCCCAATTGTGCATTACAGTTCCAGCAGTATCTATTCCTACTCTGTGCTTTCCTTCCAGGTCTTTCTAGGAGATACAAGAAACAAAATCTAGTATTCTTCAATGTGAAATGAATATATTCTACTAATGAGCTATATGAGTTCGCAAATACAATTTTGTTGTTTTGCTTTGCTTACAGTTTATGTTCCAGCATTATTTCCCCCCTTTCCAAATGCAGCAGCATGTTCAGAAGGGGTTGGCTGAATTGGGGATAGGAAACCAAATACAAGACCAGGTGAATCTTGGTTGGATTCACCTAATCCCTAAACCTGAGTTAGTAAAACATAGTTGTGTTCATTTCCACAATACAGTAACTGAACTGCTAACTACTCCACTCTATTTTAGCTTAGCCTAGCTTTAGTCAGCTGACTAAAGGATTCCAGCCTCTTCATCTTCACAGGTTAGATTCAAATCTTTAGCATTTATACTATTACACATTTTAAATACCTGTCTATTTTTATTATTTAAATAGTGTTATCTTTCCTTGCTATAGTGCAAACAGCTTATGAGTGACTAAATTGTCACACTAATGGATTTATAAAATCTTTTCCATTTAAACTATTTCCATCTATTACCTCATTAATTCCATGTTAAAAACTTGTGACTAGTTTCCAATTAAAGTTATTTGCAAATAACAAAAGATAATCAATTCAAATCATGTTCTTTCTAATTTGCCATTTGCCAGCAGCGTGTATAATGGTGCTGGGTGACTCAATTGTTTTCAAGATTCCATAGCCATGAGAGCACAGGATTTTCCTAAACCAAACATCACTGCTTTCCTTATTGTATTCCAACAATGGAGGTGTGGTTAATGGCAGCTTGGAAATAAAGACTGAACATTCTGATTTTATACATGGAAGTTTTTCCCTTAAGTGTAGTACACATCACTTTGACTGACATAACACTACAATATATTACTATGGTCTCGTTTTATTTTGCTAAAGCATTTTACAAATCAAAATCTCAATATGCTTTGAGATGCTCATTGTCTTTATCATTCTGATGGGGATTAAAAGAAATTAAGAGAGAACTGTGGAGTCCTTGGTGCTCTCTGAGCTTGACTGTTTCCTTGCGGACGTTTCATTACCTGACTAGTGCTAGTGAGTGTGGGATTTGCTCCCTGTTTATATACAGTAGCTTGCCCTGCCAGTGCTGGTGGAGGTGTGGTTTTCTCCTTGGTAGTTCCTTGACTAAGGTATTGTTTTATGCTTGATCATTTGCCTGGTGTAAATCCCTGTGTGACTGGGTGTTGGCTGCTGGAGAGGAGAAAAGCCACATTTGACAAAAAGCAATGCTATACTTCCTCTATTCTGTGGAATATTTCAATAAACTATACATCTTTTTATGAAAATAAAAGAGTTTCAGATTTACCTGATAGATGTCTGATAAACTGCTACTCCCAGAATCACTGGCAATGCTGCAGCCAGACTGGCTTGAAGGGACATGTGTTACCTGTGGATGTTGACTATCTGTGAGGTGCATCTTGGTAAGGTCTGCTGGAAGCTGGAAGGAGAAAAAAAAGGGGGGGGGGATCACAGTTAAGCAGGATTGCAAATTCAAGCAATTCATGTTCTTTCTAACCTGGAAATAATTTGACAGTAATTTAAAAAACACAAGTGAACAACTCACTTCTTCTTCTTCAGAGTAGAAAGCATCTTTTCAGAGAGAAGAAATAATTTACTGGCAATATATGAACTTACCCCTGAATGGCAAATTTCTGCAGATAAGAATACAGGGTTGCATGTCCTCAAGGGCTTTAAAAGATTAGCAATTGAGGAAAACATCACGGATTACTATTTTAATGTAATTAAATAATCCAGGGAGACACATTTTCAAAATAAATGAAAGTTTTGTTGTAATTTAAACATTTGGGAAATTATTATTGCCATTGGGTTGACATCACCAAATACAAGTAGAATTACAATGGAGTCTGAGTGAATGCCAAAATGAACACCTTAGCAAACTGAAAGGTTCATCTTGGTATTCACTCAGACCTATTCTTTTATCTTGTTTTGTCTAAAGTTTGTTAAGACTTGTAGACCTTTCCCAAATTGATACTGAACGTAAGTTAATTTGTAGACTACTTTCAGAAGGTAGGAGGACGATGAAACAAGCTGCAACAGAGGCAACAGACAAGTCAAAGATAGTGGCCATGTTGATATTTTAAAAGAAACTAGCTGGAAATAAAGCTTATGTGGTATACCTTTATACTTTGGTCCCTGTTGCTATTTTGTTGCTGGTACTTAAGTGGTTTACTTTGCTGTTGAATAGCTCTTTATAAAGAATACTTGGGACTATCTGGGGTTGGATATCTGGGGCTGTGTTGTCTGTTCTTTTACTACTGAGAAATAAATGGTTGAGCTACTTGGTGTCTACTAGACATTTCAGGATATTTGATGTTTTAGGGGAAAGTTTTATGAAAGTAATTGGAGGTAAATTTTAAGTATAAGGATTACTTCGTTCTTAGGAATGAATACCCACCTACAGAAGGCAAGCTCTGGGAAACAGTACCTATTTCTTTTCATGTTTACCTTAAAAATGCTTATTTATTATTTCTATTTTTATGTATTTCATTTATATGTGTGTGTGTGTATATATATGATATACACATGTGTGTGTTATGTAAGTTAATATTAAAAGCTTGGATATTTTAATATTGATAAGGTTTTTTTGCATGTATAGATTAAATTTTTAGTTTTATTTTTAATATTTGATATTTAATTTGAGGAGTTTTATCCAGATAAATTGTATGAACTTACTATGCCCTGTTGCCTATTGCAAAGTAGATTGATTAGACAAATAGTTTTAATCAACCCCACATTGATGGTCAAAATACCAATATCTAATAGATTTATGCCTTTAGAACAGATGGATATTTATGTCACAAATGGATGTCACAAATGGACCTCTAGAACCTTCTATCTATCTATCTATCTATCTATCTATCTATCTATCTATCTATCTATCTATCTATCTATCTATCTATCAATCAATCATTTTATTCAATTTCTATAGCCGCCCATCTCAGACAAGTGACTCTGGGCAGTGAACAATGAAAGCTATGAATAAATCAACTTGGGAGATCAAGGCCTTACAAGCTTCAGCCTCAGTTTTGAATAAATGCTAATCCAAATCCTTAAATTTACAATTTGATCTTGGGGTTCTTAAAGAATTGTTAGAGAAAAAATGTAAGCTTGCTATGGAATTGGCAGTTTTATTTAATGATTTCTCAAACAATTAAAACTGTTGGTGTATTAAATGAAAATAACAGAAACATGGCTCTTATATCAAACAAGTATTCTCACAGAAAAAAATAAGAAACAAACTTGAGAGAAAACTAGGTTGTTTTATGTAATATAATGCATGTATCCAGAACAGAGCAGAATACAAACATTAATCCTGCAACCAAGATTTGTTAAATCACATGCTCTGGGAATAGTAATAAAAAAATGTACTAAGATCTCAGACCATGCAAACTATCTGAACAGGATGCTTTTTCATAAAGCTACTTTGAATGCTGTCCCTGGCTGTCTCTGTGTTTATGGGCACACACAGTCACTTTGTGATGCTGGCAATCCCAGTAGAAAGGTTGTCTGTGCACACACACGCATGTGCAGACAACCAGGGACAGCCTTCAATCTTTCCAGAATGCAGCTGCTTTTACACTTCAAGTTAAGATGCTTCACTTACATAAACCCGTTTGGCAAAGGAGCCCTTCCAAATGCATTGCACAGTCATATTAAGAGCTATATAGACAGATTAAGAATTTATTAGCACAAATTATTCAATCTTAGAAGTGATTAAATTAATCCAGCTAATTTAAGAATTTAGACTTTAGAATTTCAAACTTTCTTCTTTATGATATTGACCCAAAACTATAGTTTACAAATAAAATAAAATAAAATAAAATCCCACTTGGTATTTAGACAGACTTCCACATGTCCATTCAAGAAGGATTAAGATTAGTAAGAAGTCAAGATAACAACTAAGGTATATATATATATATATTTCATTCATTCATTCATTCATTCATTCATTCATTCATTCATTCATTCATTCATTC